TCTCCGCCTCTATGACAACTCGGACGCCGGCCGTGCGTGCGTCACTTCCGGCCAAAGGCCCCGCCCCTCCGGTTGTTTATTTTGTTAACGAGTCTGCGCGCGTGGAAAGCGGACAAAGGGCTTTTCCCACGAAGCCTGGCCGCGCCCCTTTCCCTGCATCGCCAGCTTTGTAGTGATTGACCCAGGCGTGTAAACGGCGTCCTTGTCACTCTAAGCACCTTGGGTGGTAACTTAGCTTCGCCTTTTCAGGTTCAGCTGGGCCGGCCCGTGGAGATGGATATCTTTAGCCTCCTCCTGAGACTGAATCAAAACTAACTCCTCCCCCTCTCACTCCCCCTCCAGAAAAAAAAAAACTAGCCCAGGGCCTCTAGGTCCAACTACCAATTTACAGGGAATACAGAGGCTGGAAGAAAGTGTTAAAGGATACCATGGGATGCAGGCAACATAGAATCTAGGCTGTGAGAAACCACAGGACAAAGGACATTGTTTATTCAAATAAATTGCAAGGCAGGGGAGAAGGGGAATTTATAGATTAAAAGCAATTTAGGAGACATAATGCATGGCAATTTGTGGATTTTATTTGGATCCTAATTGAAATAACCCCAGTGGGGTGGAAAAGTTTGACTTCATAAGAATTGGAAATTTGGTCATTGGATATAGATCATGAAATCATGGAACTTGTTAAATTTCAAAAAATTGTCTTTGTGGTAGAATACACAAACTTTACCATCTTAACTTTTAAGTGTACAGTACAGAAGTGTTAAGTACATTCACGTTGTTATGCAACCAATCTCCAGAACTCTGCCTATTGCAAATCAAATTGTGTATCCATTAAACAACTCTCCATTCTCCCCTCCCCCCAGCCCTTGGCAACCAAACTACTTTCTGAATGAGTTTGATTACTTCAGGAACCTCATATAATAGAATCACACCATATTTGTCTTTCTGTGACTGGCTTATTTCACTTAGCAAATGTCCTCGGGTTCATTCATTTTGTAGAATATGTCAGAATTTTTTTAAAATTCTGCCTTAAGAAAGGCTACCTTTATTATTTTTTAAATATGTTTTGATTGATTTTAGAGAGAGGGAGTGATAGAAACATCCATGAGAAACATCAATATCTATCAGCTGCCTCCTGCACACCCCCTACTTGGGATCAAGCCAGTAACCCTGGCATGTGCCCTGGCCTGAATCGAACAGGCGCCTTCTTGGGGCATGGGTTGATGCTGAGCCACACTGGCCAGGCAAGAAAGGCTCCTGTAAAAAGGCTGAATAACATTCCATTGTATGTAATACCACATTTTGTTAATCCATTCATCTGTCCATAGACATAGGAATTGTTAAATTTTAAACTGTGGTTAAGTGTGTGTGTGTGTGTTTTAATGTGTTCTTATCTTTTAGCCATACTGAAATATTTACCAATGAAATGATAAGATGCCAGCCATCCTGCTTCAAATTAATACAGGATGGGGAAAATGAGTAGGGATGTAGATGAAGCAAACCTGGCCATAGGTTGATAACTGTTAAAGTTGGGTGGTTATACTATTATGTCTGTTTTCCTATATACAGTATTTTACTTTTCCCATAATAACATGCAAGCAAACGAATAAAAAAAAACTGCCCAAGTGAACAACTACTCCTTGAGAACAGGGAGTTCATGAACATATTTCCCAAGCACAGACTCAAGCAATCTGTTGGTAAAGTACACCCATTATTCCTCCTCCTTCCAAGATTTTCAGAACAGTCGCTTAGTTCCAGTGAATATATAGGGGATGGATTACAACCTGATTTTTCCTGTTCTCCAGTTTTCCAGCCTGAGGTATATTTACAATTCAGGTCCAGAACTTTAGTTTAACAAGTCCAACCCATTTTTGTTTTTTTTCCCCAAAACAGCTTTCTTCACATACTATACAACTCACCAGTTTAAAGTGTACAATTCAATAGTTTTTGGTATATTACACTATCAATTTTTTAAATTACAGCAAATTATATGTAACATAAAATTTGTCATTTTAACCATTTTTTAAGTGTACAATTCAGTGGCATCAATGACATTCCAATCTGTTTTTAGAGTCTAGGACCTAGGTATTGACTCAACTTTGAAAGTCAGGAGACATCTGAGGACCAATGCCTTTCTAGGATTTATTAAGTCAGTGAGAACCTGAAAGTCAACACTTTCCAGAAAAATGATATTTGGTTCAAGTGTGATTGGAGTGAGCCTGGAATTTCAGTCAGAAGGGGGTTCTAACTCCACTTTCTAATAGGTGAATACCTTTGCCTTGGCCCGTGTTGCTCAGTTGGTTGGAGTGTCCTTCTGTACACCAAAAAGTGGCGGGTTCGATTCCTGGTCAGGGCACATACCGAGTTCAGAAAGCAACCAAGCATGATGTTTCTCTTTCCCTTCCTCTCTCTAAAATCA